ATACAAATAAAATGTTTTTTAAATTATTAATAATAAAATAATTGTGGATTGAGAATAACACCATTAACGTGTAATTGAAAATTTTTTTCAATTGCAAATTTTTGATTCCACTAGCATTTTGTTTCAATCTGATTCATGGATCCCTGTTCGGAAATATTTTATGGCCAATGAAAAATGGTTTTATGGCGAACTGTCGTTTTAATAGCCGCGTTATAGCCGATAACGCTCGTTATATCGTTACACGATGACGATACATTGTACGAAATATTAAACACGTATAAAAGTCAAACGATGTTGGTGTCTATATATTTCATAAATCAATAATAGACCACACAATAGAAATAAAACAGATTGAATCGATACATGTGGGATGAATTCAAAAACTAGGCGTAAGTGGCATTTTGAAAAAATTAGCTATGATGTTTCTCAACAAATCTTCTTAAGCACATTTATACCATATAAATTTCTCGGTCGATTGATTTATGATGTTTATCTTCCGGGGCAAAAAAAATTGATTTAATTGAAAAAATAAAAACTTGGGCAATAATAATTATTTATCCTCTAATGTAGTACTGACATGCAAATACCAAACCACCAAAGGAATGATGATGCGGGTCTCTTTGGGAGGTCAATAAATAACGATAATAAATTATGCCCGGATTTCGTTTTGTTGAAATTGAAAAATGTATCACGATTTTACTACGAAATTAATATTCGGAAACGTAATGAGATGAGTTCTTGTTTTTTTTTGTGTATGATTTTTTGGGTCAATAAATTTATCTCGGGTGAAAGTTTATATTCTCATCATGGTATTTATTTATTTATACCTTAATAATTACTTAACTTCACGAGTTTATGTTTTTGCCAAAAAATCCGACTTGCTAAGTTTATGTTTTCTCAATGTTTCAAGTCATTCTGATTTGGAAATATTTAAAATAAATGTATATTTTGAGGCAATTTGTTTCCAAGTGAAAATAGACCTTACCTGGCATTAGTGCACCATTAAAAATTTATTAGTATAGGATCCGCCAAATAACATTTTTTTTACAAACTACTGAATATTTTCTCAAATTTCTTTTTTTATTTGAAAGTAAAATCCTTTCAGTTAATAATGAAATTAATTCAGTTAATAATGATTAATAATTTCATTCAAAAATGAAGAAAAAAAGTCTCGGCTGAGCGTTGAAAAAAAAAAAAATGAAATTATATAGATGGCATACCCTCTATATTTTTAGAATTGTAATTATCCCTTTGGTTTTCATCTATAAAATCCATAAAATTAAATAATTTAGTTAAAAAGCCATAAATTAAATAATTTTATCTTGTGAAATTTGAATTCATAATTTCGAACTTTACAATTACAGAATTTGTTCATATATAAATTCAGAGATATTTTTGATTTACTAAACTTGGAATTTTCGTTCCAAAAATTTTATTCAGCTTATCAAATGACTCTAGACTTTTTTA